TTTGATTAAGGATTGAACCAGGTTTTTTGCACACCCCTCAGCTCTTTCGCATTTATAACATGTTTTACTTCGGCTAGAAGCTCCCTTTATCAATGTCGTGGCTTTCAAGTTTTGAGAAGAAATTGGGAAGAGCCCCACGTGAAGGATTGTACAATTCTGTGAAGACGTGGCTTTGTTCCATTCTCCTCCTTTTGTGCGACTCCCCCCAGTCAAGGGCGGCGCCATATTTAAAACTCGTCATCTAGTGTTAGGACACCCAGCGAATGGCACAATCTAGCAAGGCCGTATAATCCCTTCACATCTGGTGGTGATGCAGTTTTCACCTGCTTTTAATTACTGAAATCGGCTCGCATGAGAAATTTCGCAGGCTACAGTGCCTTGTCTTGAAATACGCGAAGCTCGTACCACCCGGCCCAAAAAACGTCGTATGGACGTCGGAGAAAAGGTCAGCACGATGAGACGAGGTCGAAGTCGACAAATCAGAGAGGAATCGACAGCAACGAGATCCCAACTATCGACCGCATTTTTAACATTTAGAAACTACTCATGAGCTACCGAAATCGTTTGGATGCTATCAAGTGCAAAATTTTATTTCACATTTTCCTCGCCGTGTTATTTCACCATGGAGTTCATTTCGTCCTGGCAGAAAATAGGTTCTCCCCACCGACGCGAGATGGCGCACAACCGCCAAAATCCATCGATTCTCACCCCGATGCCACCGGAATGAGTTCCCTGCACGTTTTTTTTTGTTATATCGTACCCGATGTTTTCCCACGCACGGCTTAGGGGAAGCCATCTGGATTCCCGGATGGATCCGTTTAAAGAGATGATCCAGCGGAAAGAGACTTCTGACTCAAAGGTTTCCAGGAAACGCGCTGAAAGCAGTGGAATAAACTCCATGAAGCTCTTTCGCGGCTTTCAAAGACGTAGAAACGTCGCATTTGTCTGCTTCTTCCGCGAAGTCCACGAATTCACGAAAGTCGTGAAAAATTCACGAAATTCACGAATTCACGATAAACATTGAATTATGTATCATTCCTTCACCTCAGGGATTCAGACGTCACGAGACGTCTTTTCAACGCCAAACGCCTTCAACATTCCGTTAACAAATCGATGAACCTTTTCCCACAACGTCGCGGCGACTTCGCTGCGTCGAAAACTCCATCCTCGCTCGACGTCGAGACGACGCTGCCGCGCCGAACGGGATCCTTCGATCTTGGAAAATTCAATCAAAAATCAATTCTCGTTTCGCACCAGAAAGGACCGCGCTATCTCGTCCATCAAGCCACCAGGCAGCCTCATTCCAGAGCGCGATTAGATTAGCCTTCGCCCCGGCCGAGTGAATCACCCGCCGTCCAACGGAGCGACCGACTCACTCGCCGTCCAGCCGAGAACTGACTCGAGCCTCACTATCGAGTCTTTCTTGCTCGGTGGATGTTCGCGTCGCGGTCGCGTTCATCGGAGGATGGCGGGAGGAGACCCTCCGAGTCCGCCTTCCAAAAAGCGGTTTCTTAGAACTTCGGGTGACGTCATCGATGACGTCACCCGTTCTGCCCTTGCCGTCCTCTCGAGAACGGGTAAGCGAGACTTCCCATCGGCGTTTCTTTCACGAGAGCATCCGCGATAGTTCGGTGTTCTTCGAGATGTAAAATCCTTGAACGATCGTCGGACCTTTCCTCTTCTCCTCTTCCTCCCCCGCTCCCGCCCCCGCCCCCGCCCCCGCCCCCGCCCCCGCCCCCGCCCCCGCTCCCGCCCCCGCTCCCGCCCCCGCTCTTGTAGTTCCCCCAGACCTTTCATAACCGGATCCTCGCCGTATTCTCAATCTCAACTCTGCAGAGCTGTCCATCGCGTCTTCGCAAGGGCGGAAGCAAGAAAAAAGCCAAGCTGGGGGGGATCTTGGGGGAAGGGGGAGGAGCGGGGGGGAAGGGGGGGGCGGGGGGGAGGATGGCATTCGCTTCCTTGGATGTCACCCTGTCGCATAGCCTCCCCAGACTTCCCTCCCCCTTGACATCTCGTGTTTCAGCTAATTTATCGCGTCGCATCCCTCTGAGAATTTGCTATGTTTGATGAGAAACACCCACCTTATTTATCTGGAGTGTGTGAAAGGTGAAAGGTGAAGAAACGGTAAAAGTCCGCAGATTCTCGCCCCCCCCCCCCCCC